GAAACCCTGTCTCGAAAAAAATAATAATAATAATAGAAGAAAGAAAGAGAGAAAGAGAGAGAGAAAGGAGGAGGAGGAGTACATTGATGATATTGTAATGACAGTGTGCTTCCTGAGATACAGCTGCACATGTGCCTTTAATCCTTGCACTGCCGGGAGGCAAGAAGACTGCTGGGCCTTGCTGGACACCAGCTTAGCTACTAGTTCAGTGAGTGACACTGTCTCCAGAGAACAAGGCAGTGCGTGAGAAGGCATGACACCTGACATTCTCCTCTGCTGCCCAGGCCCCGTGCATACACACCTGTGCATATGTCTATTTTTTGCACATAAATAAAACAGAGTCCTTTTTCTTTTTTTGTTTTGTTTGGTTAGTTGGTTTTGTTATCGCTTGTTTGTTTGTTTGTTTGTTTGAGACAGGGTCTCTACTCAGTCCTGGCTGTCCTGGAACTCCGTCTGTAGACCAGACTGGCCTCACTCATAGACATCAGCCTACCTCTGCCTTCCAAGTGCTGGGATTAAAGGTGTAGGCACCCTACCTAAAGTACCATTTTTTTAAACTATTTTTTTAAGATTTATTTATTTTATGCATATGAGTATACTGTAGCTGTCTTCAGACACACCAGAAGAAGGCAATGTATCCCATTACAGATGGTTGTGAGCCACCATGTGGGTGCTGGGAATTGAACTCAGGACCTCTGGAAGCATAGTTAGTGCTCTTAACCTCTGAGCCATCTCTCCAGCCCTAGAGTGCCATTTTTTATTCATCAGATTGACAAAGACAAAATACTGTAGTTACCTGCCAGGTGTAGTGGTGCACACTTTTAATCCCAGCACTCAGGATGCAGAGGCAGATAGATCTCTGTGAGTTCAAGGACAGCCTGATCTACATTGTTCTAGGACAGCCAGGCCTACCATAAAGACTGTCTCAGAAACAAACAAAATATATTGGTGAAGTTTATCATTGGCAAAGATGTAGGGAATTGTTAAATTTTAAGTATAGAGAATGCTTGACCATAGGCTCAAGACCTAAACCCCTTTGTTACATCTTATTCTTAAACAAGGTCTCACTAGGTTGCCCAGGCTGGCTTTGAACTCAGTCTATAACTCAAACAGGCCTTGAACTTGAGATCTTCTAACCTTAGCCTACAGAGTTACTAGTATTTGTTAGAATTCGAGCGCAGTTTGGACAGACAACACCAAAGCCGATCCGATCCGGTTCCAAGGGAAGGGGTTTATTTGGGGAAGGGAGTGGGAGAGAGGAACGGGAAGATGGTGAGTGAAGAGAAGAGGAAGAGAGAGAGAAGTAGAGAGGAGTAGAGGCCAGCCATGACCACGTGGAGAGAGAGGGAAGAGAAGGGTGGGAGGGGAGAGGACAACCTGCAGGTGCTCAGGGTTGAGGATCAAGAGAGAGAAGAGGGGCCAAGCAGCCCCTTTTATAGTGGGCAGGGTTACCTGCCTGTTGCCAGGTAACTGTGGGGTGGAGCGTACCTGGCTGTTGCCAGGTGACTGTGGAGGTGGAGTTTAACAGATTGCTAACAGTATTGTTAACCTGTGACTCCAAGCCTCGCTTAATTTAATTTTCGAAAACTGCATTCTTTCTGTATCACGTCACCATCTTGCTCTAAGCCGCATGTGTAGAGAATTGTGTACGTACGCAACACCTGTCAATTTAAGTTGCCTGGCCTGTAGCTGAGGCAGGAAATAGGTGGGACTTCCGCCAGGCAGTAAGGCTTGTGGAAGAGTGGCAGTGGGGGAGGAGTGCGACCACAAAGAGAGAACTGTTACATGTAGCTACGGACTAGCCTCATGGCAGACTTGGATTAGGATAAACAGGTTATTAACTTATGAGCTATTAGGGAACTAGCCAAGGCTAGTTGGCCAAGGTATCTTTAAATGTATATTTTGAATCTCAGCATTATTATTTTCTAAGGGTTTATGATTCACTGAAGAATGATACCCTGGACTCAAATAGTATGCAAAAGCAAGGAATATTTTATTCTGGAGAAGTCCAACATGCTGGAGTCTATCTACCATGTTCCTCTGTCCTCCAAGATGGAGGCACCCCAGTGAGCTAGCAGGCCCAATTTAAAGCACATTAGGGGAATTCTAGGGTGGGTGACCTTTATCTTAATCTGTTGCTCTATCTCTAGGGACATTCCAGAACCATTACTAGGGTGTGGGGAGCTGGAAACCGTTGCTGGAATGTCTGGAAACTGTTGCTGACCCTTGCCTCAGGCCAGGAGGTGGAGCAGCTTCTGATGGCAGGACATTTTCTAACTAGCTGCCTGAAACCTGGTTTTTTGGCTTTTGGTTTTGGTTTTGGTTTTTGGGTTTTTTTGGCTTTCTGGTTTTCCTGGTGTTTGGTTGGTTAGTTAGGTGATTGGATGTTGTTTTTATTTGTTTGTTGTTTGAGGGTTTTTTTTTGGGGGGGGTTGGTGTTTTGGTTGGTTGGTTGTTGTTTTGTTTGTTAGTTTTTTGGTTTTTTGGGTTTTTTTTGGGGGGGGGTGGTTTTGGTTTGGGTTTGGTTTTGGTTTGGGTTTGGTTTTGGTTTTTCCTGTAACTGACTTGCCTGAACTCATCCAGTTCTTGTAAACAGAGATTTGGGCCTAGTCTCCTGAACTGCCAATTTGAAGCCTGTCGTGGAATCAGCCTAGCCAGTCTGAGTTTCACAAGCTTAGGTCAGGAGGAAAACTGTTTTACATGAATGATTCCTCTATTCCTCTGTAAGATTTATTAACACTGTGACCAAATGCCTGAGGCCAACTTGAAGGAAGGAGAGCTTCACCCTGGCTGGAGGCTGTGGAGGGTTTAGTCCATCTTGGTGGGAAGGGTGTGGTGGAGACCAGCATCTCACACCAGGGAGTCAGGGAGCAGAAGGAAGATGGCCTCACTTGCTGGCTGTCTCCTTCCATTCCACCCAGGCACTCAGCCAATGGAACGGGGCTAATCAGATCTTCATGCCTTGTTGAATCCTCTGGGTAACACCTTCCACAAAGCACTCAGAGCACATCCCCAACCTCACTGGAGCACTCAGTGCACACCCCAGCCTCACTAGAGCTCTCTGTTCACTGAATTGACATTATCCCAGGATTGTTCTGTAGTGCCAGGGAAATGTTAGTGGTCCCCCAAAACACAGGCAGGAACCAATCTGATGCAACTCACGGCAGGGTCTTTATTCTATTAGAGCTAGCTTGCCCCACCCCTACCCCTCTCTGCACCACCATCACACAGGATGATTTTGGTGGTTGGGAAGCCCCAAATATCTATTGAGGCTTTATAGTAAGTAGCAGGCAGGGAGTATGTGTGTAAGCATCTAGTTGGAAAGGTACCCTGGCCTTTAACATAACTGGCTGGTGCTGGGAGTCAGATCATAAAGTTAATTTCTGCTCCCCTCTGGGTTATTGTCATTAAGTAAGGGGTGCGCTTGTAACCTGGGGGTGCAGATTTGTTGGAGGAATAACCTGGAGATGCTGGTCTTGTTGGGGATTAGCCTAGAGGCTGGAGCTAGGCTTGAGTTTTGTTGGGAGGTTGGGGGACAACTTGGAGCCTGGAACTAGGCACCAGCCTGTTAGTTTACCTGAGTTCAAACTTAGGTCAGGTTCTCTAAGATGGAGTCAGAACTTGAATATTTGGCCTCTCAGTTCTTTCACTGTTGTGCTGGGGACTTTGGGTTTTTGTTTATTTGTTTGTTTGTTTGTTCTTCTGTCTCAATTCTGTATTTCACCCTTCCTTAATTTAGTGTAGTAAACCCTCCAGATGCTCTATGAGAAAGGCAGTCTGGGCCGGGCGGTGGTGGCGCTCACCTAATCCCAGCACTTGGGAAGCAGAGGCAGGCGGATTTCTGAGTTCGAGGCCAGCCTGGTCTACAGAGTGAGTTCCAGGACAGCCAGGGCTACACAGAGAAACCTTGTCTTGAAAAACGAGAGAGAGAGAGAGAGAGAGAGAGAGAGAGAGAGAGAGAGAGAGAG